TATCATAAACTTGAGCAGCTTAAATACGCCGCTCCACCCTGAAATATTATAAGGTCTGGCAACAATTTCATATTTCATATTTTGAGATTGAGCTCCTTTCCTTAATACAGTGCAGCCCACAGCACCCTACCCATTTTTATTTATGAATGTATTATGTGTTTGTGTATATGTATATGTATGTAGGTAGATAACTATAAGTATATATAATCTATAGGTTTTTTTTTTATTAAGCAGTAATTCACTGTATGGAAGCGTTATTTCATGTACTTTTTATACTGTATTTTTATCTTATTTTGGAGTACTGAGCACTATTGTGATTTTACAATATACGTGAAAATCAATTTAATTATCTAACATAATTTACTTCTATCACGGTGGAAAAGTAGACCTTCTTAAACTATAACACCTAAAGTTAAATGAATGAATTAAATATGAAAATACAAATAACAACATCATTTTACAGACTTTCTTTTTGTGGCGTTGTTTTGAAGGAGAAGTGTTTGGGGACTTGTGACCACTGGATACTTAATGGAACTGAGCCATCCGTAATTAGTTATTAGTAACAGTTTGCATTTCCTGTTATTACAATTCAAATTATGTTATATAGAGATACAATGATGACAGTTTTGTGTCCTATTAAATAGCCACTTGTGAGCATGCACCACAAGATTTGGATATTAACTGAACAATGTGAATATTATATGTATGTACTGTGATCAGGAGGGGGTAAATTTCTAGCTTTGTATGAAAACAGCTGCGATTTGTGAAAGTGGGAACATCTGTAGAACTTATTGTCAAATCCCAAACAGAGCAAATAAAAAATCCACAACAGTAGATTCTCCTTCTCCTCCTGCAACCTGCAGACCTATTGTACGCCGCTGTGGCGTGACAGAGGTTGAAAAGCTCGGTGTAGTGTTTGAAAACCACTGAGAAATCAATGCTATGATGTAGTTCAAAGGACAGGTGGAGAAATACTGCTTTGATATGACGGAGGATGAAAAGAAAAAGTGTTTTATTGGTCAGAGACTGAACCTGGGCCTGGAGAGATAGACAGAATTAGACTGTAGAGGATAAATACACAACGAAAGTAAATGCTTATGTCCATTGTGGTCTTCATTAAAAGGGAACAGTGTAGTTTTGTTTAAGGTAGAACATTTAATGGAGCACAACAGTATATGGCCAAAAGTATGTCTATATAGTTTTGTATAGGCTGTTTTTCATGATTTGGACCCTTATGTTTCAATTGTCAAAACAGACAGCAGTTATTTAGTTAGGTTGTGTTTCTGTGCTACCTGCTGGACATTTTTAATAGCATGAGACCCTAAATCAACAACTCGTGGCCTTTCTAACAGCCATCACCAGATATGTCCAGACACATTACTCTAATTAGGCCAGCTACATCAGAGACCTTCTCGTCCTTTGGGAGGGCTGGTAGTCGTGCACTATGCGGTGAGCTACAGGCCTGGTGAACGTTTTGTCCTTGACCAGAATGTCTGTTGTATACGGACTCTTCCATCACGTCTTGACAGCTTTGACAGATCCAACAAGCCAGAGTGCTCTTGGAGACTGCATGGGGATTCACTAACATTACCGCTGAGTGACCCAACTGTCAAGTCTTCTCCATTTTCTTGACACTTGAGACGAGTCTAAAGGCCAGGTAGGTCATTTTGGGTGAAGCGCTTTCAGGACCGATCGCTAAGGATTTGGCTGCACCCCCACAACTCTCTGCTCAGTAACTTTGACTCTGGGTAAGCCAGTTTTTGCAGGTCTTTCTGACCTGAAATTTGGGGAAATACGCTTGATTGTGGTCTTTAACATAAAGACTGAAAACTCTGCTGCACAAGGCAAAGATATAGTCATTTTTACACTTCAGCTTTTGTATGTATGAAACAATATACAGCATGTTAATTATTGAGCTTTAGAGGAGCTGGTAGGTGGATTTTTACACCTTTGGACACAGTGAGGCTAGCTGTTTCCTCATGTTTTCAGTCTTTATGCTAAGTTAAGCTAATCAGTTGCTGGCTGTAGCTTAATGCAACAGTTTTGATATGTATGGCAACTGTGTGCTTTCCAACTGTATGAAGATGGCACTGTGTACAAGGCAAAGTTCATAAAACTCAACGGTTGTAGGAATTCTGACCTCAACCAGGTGGGCCCATTCTTGCAGAAATAGTTAAACATTTTCACTCCCTAATCAAGAGCTATATGAAAAGATCGATGACACTCTCATGTCTGTACGCTTAATATGAAGTTACAGTCAAGAGACATTAGCTTAGCATAACGACTGGAAATGGGGGAAAAAAAGTTATCCTGCTACCAGCAATTATGTGGCTTCCCACTTTCCATTTCTTGATGTATTTTTGGGCTTCTGGGACAAAGACTGGAGAGTTGATTGCACTACTATTCAGACATCGCTCTCTAATTTGTCTCTATAATTGAGAGCCTTTCAGGCTTCTAAAATGTGTGACAGATGTGTGTGGTAGCCTATGTGCAGAATATAAATCAAACTTGCCGGAACAAAAACTGAAAATATGTTTGTGCATTTGCGTGTCTTATTTGCTCAAAAGCTGGTTACACAAAATTTGAATTAAATTCCACGCATTTGTAAATGAAGATTTGAGGTATTGACTACTACGACTACAATTACTACAGGTTTATAGTCTCACAACTTGTGGCGCAATTTTGCAAATATGATGCCAAAGTCTCAGTTGTATCCTTGTATAAAAACTACAAGCACAAGTGAATAAGTGACAAGTGATAAGAATACAGACTTTCCATTCATTGTATTATCTCCCTTATCTTTATTAAGGTGATCAGAGCAACTAATTGGTGGACTGTTTAAACGTAATGAGCAGGTAATGGACGCCTGTTTGCACAACAGAGAGGAGAAGCAGCCAGAAAGGAAAAGAGATTTTCTTTCCAATATCACATTGTGATTTTATCAGAATCCAGAACGCATTGTCTGCAGGTTTCATATGAGCTTTAACCACAAGGTGTTGCTAATTGATGCTTCAGTGGCAAAGAAAACTCTGCACAGGTTCAACATTTGAGAGGTTTTCACCAGAACTGTTTCTCCAGTGGAAGATAGATACAATAAAAACTCAGCAAGAGCAGTCGATTATTCTGAGTAACCAGGATGTTGTATCTGAAATTGTAGCTTTAAGAAACACAAGCATATGTCTCCTCCCCCACAGTGCATTTGGTTGGAAGCAGAAAACTCAAAACCTCAGCAGGGGAGACAGAAGCTGATATGACCTATGGGTTGTATATCTTTCAAAGTAAGGACAAAATATAATTGCTTCTTGTGACTTGTATAAAAGCAATTAACCACACACACTTTTAGCTCACTGGGACACTATTAGGACCTCAAAACATCTCTTAAGATCTCTTAGAATCACCACAGATACAATACTGAGAGGCTGTTTCTGTTTCTCTGTGTTTTAGAAAAGCAGGAAAGAAAATATGCTGAAGGTTTCTTCTGTCAGCAAAAAAAACCAGACAACTGGGCAATGGAAGTGGAAGAGCAAGTCACACGCACACACACACACCATAGAAAGGCAATAATGGGCTCAGTTTCAGGAGAAGAAACGTCTGGTTAAAGTCTTGAATCTGCAGCCGAAGCAAAGTAAACAAATAACATAGCAGCTTGACATTTTAACTGTTGATGCCTTGTTTAGACTGTTAGCCATTAAAATTACATTAAAATGTTTTAAATAATCTTTGTTGATAGTTGATATTGGCTTTACGTCCTCGTTGCTTTGAGTCCCGCGGACCCAGCAATAACAATAATAATAATTCCTTTAAAAATATGATTCAAACCAAATATGCAGAAAGATACTGAAGTGGAAACCCTTCTTTTTGCACATTTGATGGGGGAGCCAAAGATGACCATGACCATAAAAGATTGTTTTTACATTAAATAAGGACATTTTGTATGTTTTAATGTTATTTATTAATTTAAATGTTAAAATAAGTTGTACGTTCAGAGACAAATAAATGTATAGTATTATAGTCATGTTGTAAGGGTGCAACGATTGTCTTCTTTAACATTTCGTTCTTTTCTCAATTAAACAATTTGTTTCGTTTATAAAAGGCCAGAGAATTATGAAGAATTGCTGTTTTCATTCCCCAGGGTCAAAGGTGACATCTTCTGGTGTCTTGTCAAGAGTCCAAAACCCAAAAATATTCAGTTTATGACAAAGAAAACCATAAAATCCTCTAATGTTGGCATTTTTGCTTAGAAAATCATTTAAATATTTCTTCAAATATACCTGTAATTGTCACTTAACTTTCTGTTAAACTGATTATCTGACTAATGTTGTACTGTACTTATGTTTGAGACATACAAGAGTTGAACTCCATGTTAGACCTCTTATGAACAAATACAACGCATGAATATCTGCTGTATACAACAGTGTTACAGCTGTGATCCAAACAGAAGTAATACATAATTTGTGACAGTGTTAAGTATAGTTTTTGAGCTGGTATAGAGGACTCCAGGGCTGGAGAGGATTAAATAAAACAGCAATGTTTCAACCATATATTTGTATTTGAGATTGCAGGATTTCCTCCACCTTTTAAAAGTTAATTATATTTCTGAGCACCCTTCAGGAGATGAGTTGTGCTTTTCTTATAACAGTATCTCCTCATGGCCCTTATACAGTGACTGATGTTTTGTTTTTTGGCAGCCTACATTGCACAACACAAATATTTTCTTCATTGTGTAACAGTTTGACATAATTAATTAGCTCGGCGGTAAAGCTCTCATCACATGGGTGCAAAGCTGCTGCCATACAGGGCCGTTAATCCTTTCTACCTACTGTTGGTCTACATGTGTTAATGCACACCGAACCGCACGACCTGCTGCTCTGTGCCTCCTTGCAGCCTCTCACTTTGCTGTACGCTTTAAGAGCTCTTGGCTTCTTTTTTTTTTTTTTTTTTTGACGTTGGGTGAAAAAAAAAGGCGTGTCCCGAAGTCATGCATATAATAGCCAGACGAGTTGCGATACGCTTTGGCTCCCCAGTCCTCAGCTCTCTGTGCACCAGCAGACTCACCGGCACTCGCAGGCTCTGTACAATGGCCGAGCTCTCCCCTGAACAAGTGGTATTCAACAAGCCGAAGGTACGTTATCTGCCGGTACACTGTGGTATAAACATTAATAATTTAAATGGAAAAGTGAGTGAATTATTGACGGGGGAAACCTTTTTCCTGGTTTTACGCACGTTGTGAGTGCGTAAACACTGAGTACTGGAACAGTCCCCGAGACAAGCAGAAGAAGTATGGTAATATATATATTTTTATATATATATATATATATATATATATATATATATATATATACATATATATGTATGAGAATGAGAACATAATATTAGCTATAATCTACCGATATCTCTGTGTGTCTGTGTGTGTTTGATAAGACAAGGAAGAACATATCTTCTGCTGGCAGTTTGACATGTGACGATGCCCACCAGGCGTTAAACAAAACCTTACAAGCAGCTGATCTGACTGAATAGAGCTTTTTACAGAAGTTCACACAGCATTTTCATGATTTTTCTGTAATTTATGCCACCATGGAACAAAGAAATGAGACTTATTTCTGCTCTTCTTGCTCTTTAACAGCCTTTCTTGTGTATTCTGTCTTAAAACATGCTGGTGGGATGAAGGCATTCACCTTAACTCATGTGACTGAGCTTCTCATTGCTGCAAAAGAAACAACACATAGCCTATTTTGTCCTATTGTTACATTGTTTTGCCTGATCTTTTCTTTATTGCAGTTGTGTTATTTGCTAGTAGAGACACCTGACTTGCATAACAAACAAAAAGCCTTAAAGTGAAATGCGCCTTTAACTGTCAGTTAGTTTGACATGCACATCAGGCACACAGGCATGAAATGTATACTTATAGTGCCCTTTGGAGTCTCTGTTCATGCACCTGCTCTGCCCAGGAGCTGCTCTGATAAGAAGAGAGGAAATGACTCAGTGGCAGAGAAGTGGAAAGACATACAGCACAAAGACAGAAATGTGGGTCCTGTTGCCACAAAGTGTGACAGTTATTGGGTGTGTGTGTGTGTGTGTGTGTGTGTGTGTGTTGGTGAGAGATCATGACTTGTAATGGGAGAGACCTTTGGGAGTGCTGGCTGCTTGCAGAGATAATCTCATTAAATATGCGGTTGTAGAATTGATACTGCTGGTGGGGTCACTGTCTGCTGCAGCAACTTTCAGTTTGCCATCCATGCTTCTCACACTATAGAACTGTAGCTACAGGGTTGTTACAGTGTGTGCTCAGTAATAAGCGCAGCTGATAAGGATCTGTAATTTTTTAGGAGTCCTGCATTTAACGATTATCTTAATTAGTGATTAATCTCCTCATTAGTGTCTAAATGAATCGATTTGTAAATAATTATACCTTCATTTGTGTAGCGCTTTGCCACACATGGTAAAGTGTGTTACATATAATTAAAAGAGATAATAAGCTACAGTTTTATGATAAAATACATGTTAGTAATTCTAGATGAGAGTGGACCTTAATTGGACATTTACGTACAATATCATGGACATAAACATTGACATTTTCAAATTAACCACATAAAACTTGTACTTGAGATGTGATATTGTACATACATATGTCACTATATGTCACATACTATGTCTATGTGCACATCTCTAATAATGATCTTTACCTGTTGATGTTTCTTTACTTCCTTGTTCCTTTTATAGTTGCACTACTTTGTACGACAACTGCTGCACAACAACCCTCCGGATTATTAAAGTTCTGTGTTATCGTATCTTAATTATTCAGTCTATAAAATATCAGAAAATAGTCCCATCGAAAATCTTAAAATGTCTGTTTTTTTGTCCAACCAATAGTCCAAAATCAAAAGGATATTCCGCTTACAGTTATGCAGAACAGAGAACAGCAGCAAATCTTTGCTACTGTGAAATTGGAAGAATATTAATGTCAAATACAGACAACAATAAAAAGCTTAAGTTGACTGAGTCACAGCTGAAATTCAACACTGTGCTTCTCATTATCTGGATAAGAACTTTTTACATCTTGTGGCTTCACAAAATTGCACAACAGTTCCCATTTGGGGTTTAATAACCAATTGTGAAGTAGTCACAGATCATTAGATATTTTGCTACATACATTCTACATCTTATCAATCAACAAGAGGCTGCTGCACAATAATTAATATTACTGAAATGCAGCAAATCAAATTAGTTCATACTCCACAAAATTTTAAACTTACTACTGTATACTGCAGGAAGTACTATGCATGCAAAAAGAATTGCCACAGGATTTCCTGAACTCAAAGATGGGTTAACCAGCTGTTTGCTGTCTGAACAGCTCGGATGTGCCATGTATCACTGATGCACAAGGCTTTTTAAGAAAACAGATGTAAATAAGAGACATTCAAACACTCTTAAACAGTACACATTCCTTCTTGTTGTAAACATTTGGGTAGAACTATCTGATCCCAAGATCACACAGATGGACACAGCTGCACTATGTGTACTTGTTTTTACTTTCTATAAAAAGTAGAGGAACAGGTTTTGAAAAGCACAGTTGGAGCTGCAACAAACAGTTAATTTAATTATCTACAGGTTATTCCAAGTCTATTTTTTAATTAATCAATGAACCATTTGACCCACACATCACCAGCAAATTACCGTCAAATTCCAAGTGATACCTCGAAGTTAAAGGAACAGTGTGTAGGATTTAGTGGCATCTAGCTGCAACTGAACACCACTCGCGTCTGTATTTGACAAACTGGGAATGAGAACATGGGGTGAAGCACAAGGCCGCATCTACAGCCAGTGTTTGGTTTGTCCGTTCTGGGCTACTGTAGAAACATATTCAGGTGATTATACACTAATGAACACATACCTTTGAATATTATATTCCATTTCTCCCAATAGATCCTCCTAAATGTTATAAACTGGAGCGTTAAATTATCTGTGTTAGACACAGAGTATGTTTGCAGTCAAAGTATTTGGTTTACTGAAAGCTGATTTAGTTCTTTGTTACAAATGAGATCCACATTTTCAACACATACTGTTTTTATTGTGATTAAATCTAAGATAACTTCAAAAAGTACACTGAAAGTTAAATTTGAGTCTAAGAGGGAACTTTAGTCAGGCATATACCCTAAGTGATAATAATGACTTATTAATGGTTTCTCTTCAGGTTTGGAAGCTCTTGAATAGTAAAGTATGCTTTGATTCAGGACATTTGGCCAAAGAATGTTTATATAATCACTGAGCTGTGGTTGTTTTGAACTTTTGTCACTGCTCAACTAAGTTCTTGGATAAAAATATGTTTCACTCAAATATGTGTTGGTTTCTTGTCCAGTAAGTCAGGGGAGGGGAAGCATTCAGTATCTGTATTTCAGATTCACTTTAGAAACTCGTATACTTAATATATTTTAATACACAGAGTATGTCTGCATCATGAAAGCTCCTTTGAGGTCAAGTTTTTCTTCAGAAAATCCCCTCAGAGCGTTTTGACCTTTACCATATTTTCCAAATTCATCCTTTAACAGATGTGGATGACATCAGAACATTTCCTCTTCTCTTGGATGAAGGTCAGCTGTGGTCATGCATCAGTTCTTTGACTGCTTTCTTAAACTTTAAATATCTAACAGTCTTATAACATTTCAGCTGATGATGATGATGATGATGTTTTGATTGTGCAGTAGTACAGAGTTAAAGCCACTAAAACATGGTTTTATATCTGAAAAGTATTTCTATGTAACATTAAATCAAAGATAATAAACATCTTTAGGTTATATTTATTAAAAGCACAGTGTTTAACATTTTGGACGATCTTTATTTATTCAGGGAAGGTTCAGTGAGAGGAACGTCCTGATCAAATTCACACTGTTACACATTCATAGCTGTCCAGTACAACCACAGTCTGATCTGTGGCCACTGAGCAGCTCCACTGGAGTGGTTGGGGTTAAGGGCCTTGCTCAAAGGCACCTCTTGCCCCTCCCTGCTTCTTCACTTTCCACACCCAGATTTATCCTGCCGGTATATAACATAATATTCATAGGTATGTTTTCATTAGTGTATAACCACCTGAATATAAGAATCATTGTGTTTTTGTTACCTTAGAATGAGACGTTTTTATCTACAGTCGCCTTCTTCATCGCTCCCATGGCTCTATAATACATCTATGAGACAGATCTCATGTAACCTTTCTAATATTAATACATGACACGTGCACACAGAAGTGTCATATGTCTGTGGAAATGTGCCAGACTTTACCTATACATACCTTTGGATGGAAACACACACAAATAAAAATACAATCGATTAAAAGCAACAGAAAAGCAGCTATATTGATTCATTGACTAAACATTTAAACACTATTGTTCTGACATTGGCAGGAAAATGTGCGTTTATGTAGGATCCCATCACTCATAGTCAGGAGCTGATTGAGTAAATAAGATTTCAGGATTTTGTAGAATATTATGTAGAATAAACTGAGACACAAGAAAATATAAAAGGACAGTGCTCCCAACTGCTTCTTTGATTTGATTTTAATTTATGGCTGATTTCTTCTTCATCATCACTCCCAGCCAGAAATAAGGATTAGATGTCTGTTGGCAGAAAAACTTAATTTGATCTTCAGTCTGACTGAAGAGCGCAGTTTAGGCTTCAGTTGTTTGAGGGAGGAGCATGATTTATTGGTGTCATCTGCCAGAATAAATCAAAGCTCTGAGCGCTGGAAGGAGAGCCAACCCTTCTCTGGCACTCCTGGCCTTTTCACCATGCGTTGCCCAGTCATGCGTTCTGCATTCATGATGGGCTGCGGCCAAAGCATTGAACTTCAACACCACCACTGCTCTGTCTTGCTGCTCTCTTTTTTAACACTGCTGGGTATTGTTTTTCAGTTCTTCTAAGTTCTAACATATAGTGTGCAGTTAGACTGAAATAAAATCTGTTTGAAAGTAATCAGTTCTGATTGACTGATTAATCATTTATTAATCGTGTATCTTTCTCATCTCATCCACAGGTCGAGCTACATGTGCACCTCGATGGAGCCATCAGGGTGCAGACTATTCTTGACGTTGCCAAGTAAGTTAGTTTACTCTCCATTTAATTAGAAACTCACTATTGACTTAAGGTTTTATGATCTTGTACTGAGATTTAGACACACAAGTTTAGACAGATAAGAGGATTAAAAAAACGTAATTGTTTCTTTGTTCGGTTTGACACACCACCTTTCCAGTTGATTAACTGCACTTGTGAATATTAATAATTGATAAAGTAAAATATTATGACCTTATTGGGTTGATATGGCAAACATCACACACATTGGCAATTGGAGTCGTGTTTCTGTCCATTAGATGAATGTAAGTCCTATATTTACTCTCCTTTTAGCTCCGTTTTGGTCTCCACCAACTGCTGGGGCAAATATCTGCCTATTTAGCTCCTAAATGTTCCACCCGCCTGTCTGTCTGTTGGTGCTGAGCAGGTCGTTTTTTTGTCAAAAACAGCTGCCTGCTCCATCTGAAAATTATGATGTCTTGAACCAAAACTTTAAAGTTACGGACCTTAAAATCAAAACAATAATCTGAAAGGAACTACAATGCTGGGGAACTGCAAAGTGGAAGCCTACAAGGCTGCACAGTTTATCACAATATTGTTGAAATTACAATATGTGCAATATCCAATTCACAAGAAGCTTTTTTGATAAAGGTAAAATATATCAAAACAGCTTTATAATGAAATACTTTAGTGCTGCAGAGATTCCCCTGCCGACAAATATTCTTCTGCAAATTTAAGAAACAAATTTGTTTTGTCTGTTTGTTTACAGACTCAAACAAATGTCACATCATCAAAATTTTTATTGTTTTGTTTTGTTGATGAAACTTAAAATTCTGATATTGTGCAGCCCTAGTCGGACAGTTTTTTCCATCACTCTCCCGCTTTGTGTGCGTTCCACTCCCGCCCACTGCCACAAACATTTGGACCATTCACACAACAGAGATTTTTGTCTTCTGGTAAAACGTTATTTTAGTGTAAATACCAGACTTGCCTTGTTTTGATGTTAAAAACAGCTTTAATCTTGTATTCAACTTAATTTGTTGACTCTGTCTCTATCATTCTAGTGCGTGCAAGCTAAATCCCAGGACCCACAGTTTAGTTTTTTGACCGACCGCTCTGGCCGGCAGCAAAGTCAAAAACACCCACTCCTGACAGATTTGCGTCCCGCTGGGACCGGATCCCAACGCAGTCCTCTACTGCAGAGTCATGTGATAATTCTCTGTGGGTTTGTTACTCTGAGCAATGTTACACAGTCACCCAAGCCACTGGTGATGTAAAAATATACATTAGAGCAGTTTTACCTCTCAAATATTGTTATCAGACGCGTTTTCAGAATATAATATCACAATAGTCTAATAAATCCTGGCATAGTTCCAGGGGCTCCTTTTATTCATTTGTTTCATGAACAATTCAGCCGTCAAGTAAACAGCCCTCTGTTCAACTTTTCATTTTAGAAAGCCGAGCAGCTCAGGTAAAGTAGATGTATTCATTTTGGGTTAATATGAAACAAAGTACATGACCTTGAACTGTTGTTTTTTTTCCTCTCCTTCTTTCCAGGAGACGCGGCATCTCTCTTCCAACAGATACTGTGGAGGAGATGACACAGATCATTATTGTCGAAAGCCCCGGCACCCTCACCGAGTTCCTGGGCAAGTTCGCAGAGTACATGCACGTGGTTGCGTAAGTGCTGACATGCCACCTTTAATGATTCAGTTTCATAATTACCAAAGGTGTTTTCTTGCTGAGCAGGTGACAGAGAGTGCAAGGGGCGAGATTGGAGTGATTAAGAGTCAGGGTCCACCTCATTATTGTCACAGGAATGTTTCTCCAACAAGGTCTACAATGAGGGCCAAAGTCCTGCAGATTGTTATCACACATATGTAGTTATGTTATACAATTATGATGCATTCAAGGTCTCTTATAACCAGAGTGTGTAGCGTAGTTTGTGATTAATGGCAGTGGAATGTAAAACACAGCAGGATTATGCAATGAAATTCTGTAGCAAGATCGTGGGGGTGATGGGGGGATTTAAATGTGAGACATGCAAAACAGGAACACATCATTATCGAGATCAAATGTCACTTTGGCAACCAAAGTAAGAGGAGACTAAAGTAGTTTGGGGTGCCTTTCCGGTGTCACTCAGTCTTATATTTAGTCCAGTGACAGGGCTGAACCATTAAGAAAAGACCAAATACAGTCTTTCAGATACTCAACAGCCGTGAAAGCTTTCAACAATGACGGTCTGTAGTGGCTGGACTGCAGCACACAGTTGTGCTGAATGGACCCTTCTGTATCAAGGCTCTTGAAAGCCTTGTGTGCAGTACGGCTTCAACAGCATAGGGAACTTGCCAGCTGAGTTTAGCTCATGCAGAATTGTTGTATTAATGATGGTGTGTTTGTGGCAGGGAGGGGGAGGGTTGAGAGCATACTGGAGAACAACAGGCATTCAGACCTGTGCTATGAGCATTCACTTTCTGTGTAAATGCTGGAAGCGGTGTTGTTGTCCGTCATGTGATGAGGGATGGAAAGTGTGCTGCTGAGTCTAAAGGAAAGAGGGGAATGGAGGTGTGGGTCTCCTAATGTTTTCACAACACTACCCTGTCACGCAGCACAATCAGAACAGAAATGTTTTAGGTGAATAATGTTTAATGAAATGTTTTTGTAGTTGGGGGAGGGGGGCTGTATCTTTAGCATTATTAATGTATAAGTATGTTTTCATTAGTGTTTTAACACCTGTATATAGGAATCATTATGTTTTGGTTACCTTAGAATGAGTTATGTCTTTGTACAGATGGTGTAGATGTTGAACCTACACATTTTGTGTTTTCACCGCCACCATAGTTTCTCCTACACACTTTACAGCCAGTTCTCATTTCAATTTCAAAGCCCAAGGTGACGTATTCAGATTGCTACACTCTAAAATTCAAAGATTTTCAGATTTACTGTCTCATGAGACAAAGAAAAGCCGCAGATCTTCACATTTACAAAGATTTTGCAAGGGAATGTTAATGGAATTATACATTTTCTGAGGGACCAATCAATTAATTGAGTAATTGTGGCAGCTCTACTAAGCCGATTTGGTTTTATGGGAAAACAGTGGAGGAACGAACAAGTCAAAAAAAGTTTCTTTTAAATTCGTTCTGCTTTCTGATATAATGCAGATGAAGTTAAGGTAGAAACTGCTGTGTTCAACTATCGTGATAGCCCTGATGCAGAGACAGGAGTTTCATGGCCAAATACAGAAGTGCAACACACAAACGCTGTCATTTTGATGTTGATGTGCTCTCTCAGAAAGTCACACTTCCCTTCAGCAAAAAGAAAACAAACATTACCCTTCCCCTTTTCTGGCACCCCAATCCAATAATTTTCATGCAGACATTTTTATCTACTCCTCTAAATCCTAAAAGTATGTGTGGAAAATAATTTTAAATAGTAACACTGATAAGTCAACCATCATTATTTATACATGTTGCACATGGATGTGTAGGAGGTGTTTAAGGGAAATCAACTATATAACATCTGATGATGGATTAACAAGATAATAATTCAAGATAAGAGATTTTTAGAAGGGAACGTCATTTATTTTGTGTTTTTCTTTGTTATTTTGCAGTGGAGACAGAGAGGCCATAAAGAGGATTGCGTATGAGTTCGTTGAGGACAAAGCCAAGGAAGGAGTGATTTATGTTGAGGTCAGATACAGCCCGCATTTCCTGGCAAACACAAAAGTGGATCCAATACCTTGGGACCAGAAAGAGTAAGTCTTTATTTGAATAGCTGCATCCTTTAGTGACACCTATGTTGTGCTTTTATGGAAGGAGATATTAAGTTTGGCTCATTGCATGTTTTCTTTTTCACTGTGTTTTCACTCAGAGGTGACCTGAGCCCAGACGAGGTGGTGCGCCTGGTTAACGAAGGCCTCCGCGAGGGCGAGAGGGCCTTCAATATCAAAGCCAGGTCCATTCTATGCTGCATGCGCCACATGCCAAGTAATGAACTGTTCATGCTTCTGTCTGCCCAAACAACCTTGTGAGATAAGGTTCCTTACTGTAATGTCTTCTGTCCTGTGTCTGGTATTGGCTACAGAGAGGCTGTGTGTTTATTCCCACTGAATCAGTTAGAAAACTTAATCATGTTGTAACTGACCAGTCAAAAGATCAGTGACACTTTTAGCTCTAAAAACAATCAGGAATGTGTTCTTGTGCTCAGATGGAAATGCGAGAACTGCACATAACCAAATTTGTCCTAAAAACTCCATCCATTCACATATTCAGTATAATATATACTGCCTCGCTTATTCTTATTAGATAATGAGCAGGAGCACCACAGAAAGACACAATGCACAAGTTTATACATATTATAAATCCATATTATTTGTATTATAATCTATGCTACATATTGTAGCTATGCAATGAAACCATGAATCTTCAAACTGATTAGATTTTTTTCATGGGTTAAGAAGATTCTCCTATGTTTTAAGCCAAAGAAACTGTTTAGACTAGAGAGTCTCCAGCCATGCTAGCAGCTCTGTGAGGCAATGGTGCTTTGAGCTATTGCTAACATTTTTTTAATTGAATTGAATTGAATTGAATTGAATTTTTCTGGCATGTGAAATGAGCATTTAATGATAATTGATTTTAATGAATGGCTTAAAATACAAGTTCAACTTGAGTTAAATTGGTTTTATTGTGGTTCATAATTATTCCATAAATCTTACGTAAACGTTTCTATGCACGCTGTAAAGTCGCTGCAGCAAATATTAAAACTGCGATAAAGTCTGTCTAGTATTCATTCGCAGATGATTGTCTGCACAGAATTGCATGAAAATCCATCCAATAGTTGTTGAGATATGGTGTGGCGGTTGGTGTACCAATGATCGATATTGTCATTCCTGGAACCATATCTACCAGCAACGCTAAAAACCCACTGACTTATCTGCAAAATGCATCATCATAAAGCTGAAACCAGCACAGTTCTATTGAGGTTTTGGAGATACATGGTTTTCACAGGGCACTACTACTATGTGCTATATTAGTACTATTAGTAGTTGTAGTAGTAGCAGTAATACCAACTCTACGTACATGTCTATGAGCTGAAACCACTGCAGTAATATGAGCAGTTTCGGTATCAGCAGCAACAGTGACCATAGTGGTAAGTCTGTTGCAAATATGTTCTGCTCCCATCGTGCAGCTGTTTCCTGTTTTACTCAACATCCAAATGCAATTCATATCTTCTGTTTCTTAGCATGAGAAGGATATCTGACTGTCATGATAGATGAGAAGTGCTATTTGCATTTTTATGTATGTTTAAACAGTATGCAGCCTGACATTCCAATGCAGTATCTATTATGTACCTGTATGCAAATCATTCATATTCTGATTGTGAATGCTGTATAATGATCTGGAACATTATGTTCTGTGTATGTAACTGTTCTGGTTTCTGTACTGTTCTTACCGAGAGTTAGACACGATCACTGACACCACTCTCATGTCTGTGGGGTAAATGTGAAACTACTGCAATTAGATGGTTAACTTAGCTTAGCATAAAGACTGGAAGCAGGGGGAAACAGCTAGCTTTGTTACTCTCAGCCAGACAAATACAGTAACTACCGCATGTTGGTTAACGTCGTCTTGTGCTTGTCATAGCCGCAGACCGATGCAGATGATGTAGCATGATGCTGAGACCGTGTCATCACATTTCATCTTCACATCATCTGCATGTGTGTGATTAAGTCGCAGGACCAAACTGCGTAGTAATATTTGTGTATTTTAAATTCTCCAGGCTGGTCCATGGATGTCGTGCAGCTGTGTAAGAAATATTGCAACGAGGGAGTCGTCGCCATTGATCTGGCAGGTGATGAATCACTCAACTGTGAAGCCAATCCAGAACATAGGAATGCCTATGAGGTGAGAAACCTAATACCAACAGGCAGTTGCAGTCAGAACATTAAGAGGGATTAAAAAGTTGTGGGGCTTTGATGAGTTTGTGTCCTGTTTTGTGTACTTTAATTACAGCCTCACATGCCAAACACTGAGCATTAACTTGTCTGGCAACATCAGCAATGACGGTAATAATGTCAAGCAAGGTCAGCTACAGTTTGTTTTGTAACAGGAGCGTAATGTTTTGTGCCCTTGGATGTGTTTTTGAAAAAGTCTGTGATTTCTTACTCAGTTTAACACAAAGTGTGATCTCTGGAGGAAAACTGCAGACAGTGTAAATACAGCAGTAGACTGCTTACCTTGGCGCTGGAGTACAGTGGGCAGAACTTTTATTTATAACGTATTGCGATGTTTTGAGGTTGTAAAAAGACTTCATGGTCAGAGAGTCCACCTCATGTTCCCACAGGCTGCAGGCTGATGCAAAAATGTCTGCAGTCTATCGCACCAGCAACTTTCAGGAATCCTTAGAAAGAATTTGAGGCTCTGTCTTGTAACTACAGAGAGGACGGATGGCTTGGAGATGTTTTTCTATTAGCCACGCTAACGGTTTTGAATTTCAGTGGTCACGACAGAAATATGTTATGACTAAATATTAATGACTTTGGTGATAGCCTCACTTTTCCTCTTGAAATGTCTCGACATCTGGTTTGTCATGAAGTTTGGTACAGACATTTGTGTCCCCTTGAGAATCAGCTTTGGGAAGCTTTTACATTATTAATTTGACCTTTACTTTGTTTTATGACCAAATACCTGCAAAACTAATGATATTTCCATCAGCTTCAGCTGTACGTTGCTGAGTGCTAATCTGCAGATGTTGCTCTGCATCAGCATCATGGCTGTGCTCAGCATGCTGAAGGTAGCATTTGACCACCACTTTGGGCCAGACTGAAATATCTTTACAACTATTGGACGGATTGTCATAATATTTGGTGCAAACATTCTTGTCCCATTCAGGATGAATTGTAATAAGTTTTGTGATCCCGGTCTACATTACCAGGTTCACATTTTAATACTTGGACATAATCTTGCAAAACAAATGACATTCCCATCAGCTGTACTCTGTGTGCTCTGTAGACTCTTGTTTAAATATGTAACATGTTCCTCTCCTGTGTAAACACACTGTCAATGTGATAATACCATTTCACAGAATTGGTAAGAATGTACTAAAGGCTTATTTGGACCTTCAGGTACATATTTGTCATAATGCCAACAAGGTTTAGGCCACAGTTTTTACTGCTGTACATTGATTTTCACTGTCAGAGTAGTATCAAACTGATGAGGACTTAAATGTCTTTATCTATAACCAACACAGTATTAGAGTAAAATCTAATGCTACCAAACCAATTTCCTCTTAAGCTCTGAGGCTTCTCAGAAAAATCCAATTTGGTTTTCAGCCAGCATTTATTGATTAATTCAGAGAATACCTCAGTACGTAATCAATTTTGCCTGTCAGACCATAATGAATGTGATAGATTAATCAGTTAATATGCTGCAGTGCTGAACATGGACTAAGTCTTACCTGAAATTAATTACTTAAGAGTACAGGATGGGTGGATTTGACAGTTGCATGGGGACAGTTCATAATATTTCAGCCTGATTTAATTGTTCATATAGACATCTGACTGGTTATTTGCTTTAGCATTCTGTTTGGTATGACACATTTCTATATTTAGGAAGTGTATTTTAGTAATTTATAGTTTAGTACTACCGCATATTTTGAGTTTCAACTAATGACTTCTCACTCCCGGTTGCTAGAACCATGATAAACAGGTCCGGAGGTTTGTTGCCATGGCGGCACTAATCACCAACTAACTAACTACGAAATGCCAGGAGAATACTGAGGACTTAGAGAGCTGGTGTTTGAATGTCAGTGGCCTCCAAACAGCATGTGTTAATGCGATAAGAGCGTAGAGGTACAAAGGTGGGCAGTAAACACTAAATGAAAATACTTCGTCTATGAGTCTGTTGCCTCTCAGTCGCTCATACGCGAGATGGCAAACATACCAGGGTTTACGATAGAGTGTGTGAATACAAAGGTTTGCACTAAAAAGGATTTCTTTAGAAAATACAACTAGTGAAAACTAATTTGCAGCAAACAGCTGGTCAATAATTCATAAACTGACCATAAAATCCAAATAATCCAGAGCTGTTGCATAATTCCTTACAAGTGTAGTATATGCAGTTGTTGCATATCATATTATTATTATTATTATGCTGTTATGAATTGTTTCTGAAAACATATTTTGATCCCCTTTTTTTATTTAAATTTATAAACTTATTTAATTCAGGTAATGCCGGTGTGTGTTTATGTGTGTGTGCAGGTTGGTATGTGTGTGTATGAATTACAGTTTCATGTGTGTTTGTTTGTATGACTTCAGCAAACATGTATAATTTACTCTCCCTATGTTGCATACTATATACTTACTACTATAAATACACTTTATTATTATTATTATTATTATTACAACTGTATACTATACACAGATGTATTTTCACTATCCACAGTGTTCTGAAATCCTTTGTAGCCCCATTTGATATTGATGGATAAATAGGAGAGTGCTTCAATTATTAACAAGAAGCAGAACTCACAGACCAGAGTCCACACTAATATTGAGGGTTATCTTCATAACTACATGACCTCTAGATACACACGTGCAGATTAAGCAAGTCACAGTCGGTGTGTCCAAGGTTAAGATGATGATGATCAAACCAGTGGGATGTCTGTATTTGGTTTTACTTCTATGACGCAGTATATACGTAGTAAAAATATTGATTTCATCATTTATTAAACTATATCCGGTGGAGAATGCTTTCTCCTACGGTACCAGTACCATCCTTTTCCCTGTGAAACCAAGCAACTGTGCACAAAAACCTTTTTCCCTGTGAAACCAAGCAACTGTGCACAAAAACCTGTCTAAATTCTAAAAGGCGCCACAGTAGAGGCTACAGTGTCGCAGATGTGAAAGCCAGATGTTGGGCTGTGTCTGTTTGGTTGCTAATGTGTTCCTGGATTGATTCTGTTTACAGGAAGCGGTGCGTTCTGGGGTCCACAGGACAGTCCATGCAGGGGAGGTGGGTCCGGCATCCGTGGTGAAGGAGGTAAGCTGTTCAACAATAACACGAGACATTTCTGAGCAGGGTGGTGGAGTCAGTTATTTGTCTCCAAGCTGCAGTGGAACTCATAACAGCCACAAAACAATGAAGTCACGCAGTAACAATAGCGATGACCAAACCGGCTATTAGGGGCAGAGATCCAAAAGAAACAAGAAGAACGAGAATAGCAGAGATTTATGTTTGTTGTTGATGGTTTTAGTCAGTGAAGTAATAAAAGCAAAAAGGAGCACACATACAAACACATATGTGTAGACTGTTTGTGTACATCTCAGCCGCTATGTTTCGAAACCTTTAGAGTAAAACTAGAGTACGTCTCACTGGACGGTGGCTGCCATAATGAGTGGACACTCTCTAAGGGGGCCATCCCTCAAAGTGACAGCTCAGCTATGCCACAACAGTTGCGCGTGTGCCTCTAGAAATAGCCCGCAGATTCTGCTGAGATGTACAATGTGGAGGATTTTTTGTGGTTTATAACCTTTTGCTTCCACCTCGTGACCCCTGTCTGATATTTTAGGCCGTGGAAGTGCTGAAAGCCGAACGTGTTGGACACGGTTACAGAACCCTGGAAGACCAAGCCCTGTACAAAGACTTGCTCAAAAAGAACATGCACTTTGAGGTAAGGGACTGTCCACAATTATCACCATTTACATCAAAAAGCTGAATTATCAGCAAGGTTATTAAGTTCTGTAGAAACATGCCTGTTATCCATTACACCTACTGTGCCTTATGCATCATTACAAACTCATCATTTTGATCATTGCAGATGATCAGGTAATTATAGTTGTGTAGTTGACTGACATACTATTAGTGTACCTACCCACAGGAACACAGTGTATATAGTGCATACGCTAACCCCTAGTGGAGCATTAAGTATCACAGCTGGAAGAAGAAAGACTGCAGTAATTCTGTGTCTCAGTGCTGCCTCTGCTGTTCTGATTGCAGGTGTGTCCTATTTCCAGTAAGCTAACAGGTGCCTGCGACCCAGACTTCACCAAGCATCCTGTGATCACGTGAGCTGCACTTATTTTACATGATAATCTAATTACCTGTATTAAAGTAGATTTGGACACTTCATTTATTTTTGTTTGGATTTCCTCATTTCCTTTGTGCAGGTTCATGAAGGACAAGGCTAACTACTCCCTGAATACAGATGACCCTCTGATCTTCAACTCAAACTTGCACCTCGACTACTACACCGCGCACAAATACATGGGATTCACTGAGGAGGAATTCAAACGTCTGGTGAGATCAAATACATGTATAATTGTAGCGGCGGTTCACAGGATGAAGGCTGTTTGAATGTGGTTTGAAATGATTGCATGGGGTGGAGATGCCCTGTGCATGGCAATGCCTTCCGCAGTTGATAATTAAAGCGGGAACAAAAGCTAACATAAAAGAAGTGTTCTGCTGCGCCCTGAAAAGCCTCAGATCCTTTTAATAATTACAATTCTTCATTTATTTTAAACGTGTGATGACTTGTGCTTCACACCCTGGCTCCATTAGGCCTGAGTCTGCAGTAAATCGTCACAGGAACAGTTTGACAAAATATTTACTGATTTCCTTTCTTGCCAAGAGTTAGATGAGAAAATCCATACCACTCATATCTGTACGGTAGATACGAAGCTACAGCCAGCAGCCAGTTAGCGAAACCAGAAGAAATCAGTTGGGCTGGCTCTGTCCAAACAGCACCGCCAACGGCACCTCTAAAGCACTAAAGCACTCTAATAATTACCACGTTATATATTTAGATTTATTTATTTTAAGTGTAAAAACAGCTCATGGTTTATGGTGGGTTATGTGTCGGACTATTTCCTGACTCCGCGCAGTGACTTGTCTCATCATCGCTGTGAGGTTGCCAGGCAACCAGCAGAGGGTCTCTGTTTTCTCCTGTTTCAAGTGTTTATGCTAAGCTAAGCTAGCCATCTGCTTTAGAGGTGTGAATTAAAAAATAACTTTGCTGATTTAAATAATTTTAAATAAATATCAATCAAAAAAAGCACATTTTCCACATTGCTAAACTTTTTCTTTAGAGGTTAACTCACTAACTATTTGTAAGAACACTAAATGTGTAACTTATTGACTTCTTGTGTCCTATAGAACATCAAATCTGCAGAGTCATGCTTCCTGCCTGAGAAGGAGAAGAAAGAGCTCATCCTGAAACTGCAAGAGGCCTACGGGATGGTGCAGAGCACTGCCTTTTAAACCCGAGGAAGTCTGAAGAGGAACCTAACCCAGGGAAAAACCGCTCTGAATCCTTAATCTCCACACTTGACGCAATGGAATGTCTTTTTCCTCATTTGTAACCAAACATAAAGCCTATAGAATAATATATCAAACATCGTGTATCGTATGGCTGCTGCCTTCACCTCTCATACCTGACCATCATCCGCTTGTGTTTTGTCAGTATCCCTTTATAGTACTTAGATGGCTTTATAACTTCAGTTTACAGCGCAGTTCCGGAGGATGTCATGGTGCTCTGCAAGGTGGAAAAAAATATGTGCATGCCAATGTTTTGTGTTTATGAAGCAGATTTTGCCGTATGGCAAAACTCTGGATACAATCTTCATCTTGTGTTTACATCCTGTAGTCATAAAGAGAATCAGGGAAGCTTTTGATGCACAATAACTTTAACGAATTTGTGAGCCTGCAAGGGAAGGATATGGTGGGGTTATTTGTTGTTCATCTCTGTCATTGCTATGGTTGAGAACTTACGGCGGAAATATAGTTTACTGTGAATATCCATTGTTTGGTTTTAAGGGTGAATTAAGGGGAATCCAGTGTCAGAAACATATAAATATGTGCTTTTTATCCTCCACACACGTATAACTACAGAACACATCAGGTAAAACAGCTCAATACCAAAAGTTTAGTCTAACATTCAAACACTAGGTGGCACAATGCTCTCACCTACAGGGACAAACCACAGCTGACTTAAAGTGGTTTTGCATTTCGTAATTACTCTCAATTATTTTGATGTATATATTTATTTACTTTTTTTTTTCTTCCTTTCACTGAATAAAAAAAGCACTTCCATTATAACAAACACATTTATGACACTTTGAGAATCTTTGACCATAATAAAAGCTATTACTAAAATCTTTCTGCAATCTCTTTCTTTAGGCTGATAATCTCCAGTCATTTATATGCATCTTCCTTATAATAGTAATACTTGAGAAGCTCTGCACTATGTATACTATATTCTATATATCTATATACTTGAGATTGATAAAAAAAAAAAAAACCCACAGCTTAACAGATAAACTGCTCTGTCATCCTCTGTTTCTTTATTGTATAAAGATTAATGGGAACACTGGGGCCATGCTAGGTGGAAATGTAAGCACTGGCTTCCTGTGGCAATGCTAATGTACACAAAAGCTGCATTCAATAATATTTATGGCTCTGGAACAGCTCAGCACTGAACTCATTAATCCTGAATGGCTGGGACTCGCCACCTTTGCAGATCCCTTACCTGCTGTGTTCAATACAACAGAAACCGGGTAAATTGCTCCAGGTGAAAAGATAATTATGCTTGGGAACATAAAATACAAATATTACAGTAATTCATAAGTATTTTATTACACAAAGAAAATTTCTATCACAAAGTTATCACTGAACATTTAGCAATAAATATGAAGTCCGTACACGACAGTATAATGGCGACTATGTTTGTTACTAAAAAAAAGAAAAGACTTGACGGTGAAACTGAACAAGAGGGTCACAAACACACACACACATACATAGAAAGAAAATGACAAACAGATGATTATGAATACGCCCTCCATGACACAGTTCCATATTAAGCTGGAACGATGTTTCGAGTGTTATAAATGAATTCTGTTCAGCTCAGTCCATCTCCACAGACATAAATTCATAGAGTTTCTGTGCTTTCTTCTCTCGTCAGGAATATTAATGACTAACAGAGGATGGAGCAAAAGAGCAGCATCTCAGCTGTCAGTTCTAATGTGTTCTGCTCCCCCGTGTTACAATCTGATCCGATGAAAAGGCGTACATTTGGGCCGCTGAGGCTCCAAACAGGCCGGCAGTGAGCGAAGGTGTCCTCATGTCCAATTAGGACAACCAATGTACACTCTCTCTTTCCTTTCTTCATGTCTCTCCACTTCCACTTGCTTCCTCTCTACTTTTCACTCCTCGGCTCTGCCCCCCTTTCGGTCTCCGGCTGAGTTTAGGACGGGCCTCCACTTCCCTGGGCATCTTGGCTGGTGGAGCCCTCTGCCTCAGGGGCTGGGGAGGCCCCTGGGTCTCCTTCTGGAGGAAAACACAGGAAAAAATATGCACGAAAAAATTTAAATAAAAGAAATCAGTGGAAGATTGTAGTGTATTATCATCAATCATCGAGTGTTTTGGTATTCCCAACAGAAGGCAATAAATCTGCTTTCAGGCTCCAGAAAGAAAAAATAATGAGAATCCTGAGGAAGGAACTACAACTTCCTGTAGCAACACAGTGTCAAGCATGATATGAGATTATCTCCAAATGTGAGGCTTCCCACCAGACCAGCATTAGAGTAGTTTGATTTATAGTGGTTATCATGTCATGGGAAACTTGTCTTTGACTGAAAAGGAAGTCAGCGAGAATGACAATGTAATACACAATGTAATAGACGTTCCTTCCAACAACTTGACACTGCTGAGAGTAGAGGAAGGAAGGACTATCTTTCATTGTGCTGCCGTTACGACTCATTTAACGCCGAGGCAACAAAGCACAACAATCAAGTCTCACTGAGAACCCCACCGGTTTGTATTTTCATATTCTGGTGCAACGAGGTCTGGGAGCAGGTTTCACAAAGATACACTTGGACTAGTAGATCAAACTAATATTCAGACTTTAATTAACCTGCCGCAAAGACAAAAGATGTGTAGTTCTTAACTACTTTCTTGAGGATGAGTTTGCCGTGAATATTAAGACATTTTTCGAACTAGAAAACATGGCTGATTGAACAAGCGCGTCAAACTGATCAGCTTGGTTTATTCCAGCAGAAAATGTTAAATTCAACAGTTTTAAGGATGTTTTAGTGGGAGGATTTAGCGAGTAATGATACAGACTACATGTAGCAGAGCTGAGCTGCTGTGGCTTCTCATGTGGCAGAGCGCAGTACTTGAACTCATCAGTCAGCCTCAGGATAGTTTCTCTGGGTAAACGAAAATGACTGATAACATCCTCACTCCTTTCTTAATAATAACTCCATAACATTGTTCGCAAACCACAATTCATGAGCCATCTTCTGCTGTTTTTTGTCATTCTCTGCCACTGGTTAGCAGATGTCACCATGGAGACAAGGGTCTCAGTTGTGAGTGAGCCTGGGAGTACGGTGGATAACATTTTAAAATGAGCCAGATTTTAAATGAGATTTTTTCCCCCCAATATTTTAGGGTAAATAACACTAGCTGTGAGGGTAGTAGCGGTGATGGTGGTAGCTGAATAATACACTTTATACCTGACTCATCGTAAACTGACTCTGTCTGACTGGAGCTTGATAGTTCAACAGGTTTTCCTGCAGCACTTAAAGGTTTCACTTCCAACTTTTCTTAGACTAATCTGGCAAAAGTAACGGGTAACGGCTGTATTTTTCAACCTCTTATTTTCCTGTATCTATATGTCAAAGTGACTAATGGGGACAACAAGTTTTGAATTTGGTCCAGAGAGCGCTGCAGTCTTCAGCTGCAAAACAGGCCACCGTGTAATCCTTTTGAGCAATTGCACACCGTCATAATATGTCTATTAAAATGCTTCTTTTTGCAAACAGATTGTTACTGTAAGAGTCTGACAACACGACCCTACAGAGGAAAGCAACATTTTCTGCACCTTTCACTTGATCTGCTGTGTGTCTAACCAACTCTAGCTCAAGGAGAAGCCTCATGCTTGCTCAAAAACAAGCTCTTTAAATTCACTTTTGCCCCAAAGGATTATGTTGTAGCCTGTTTTGCGTCTGCAGGCGTCAGCACTCTCCCTCAATGCTGGACTAAATTCTAAAATTGCCGTCCCCATTGGTCACTTTGACACAAAAACAGGTTGAAAAATGCAGAAGTTACCCTTTAAGACTAGCCTAACTCTACAAGACTACAAAGTCTAAAATATCTCTGTGAAACCGACCCCAGGTCTTCAATCTACGGTATGCACATTTTCTTTCTCACTGCATTACAAGTGTATTCAGATGTGGCTTTACTGACCTGCAGCCTTCAGGTCCATCTCTGCCATGTCTTTGGTGAGTTCACTGGTGCTGGCCGCTTCCCCCTCCCCTGCGATGTCGGGCACTGCGTTCCTGCGGCCTGTGCGATCACAGTTGATGAAGTCTGAGTACGACGTCTCCACGTCCATCATCTGTCCATGACCAGTGCTCTCATTACACCTGCCAGAGGGAGGAGGAGGAGGAGGAGGAGGAGGAGGAAGTCAGACGGCTGCGGAGGTGTTGCAAGAAGCACATAAATCACCCCGCTGACCCGTGGGAGGACAGACCACTGCGTCTTGCGAATTTCTACTTCAGTAGAATCAACGTGACACACAGGAATACTGTCTAGAGACCAAAAAAAAAAATATATATATATATATATATCACAGTGCTGAGCTATTTAAGAGGCAATGAGGATGACCAATGCAGAGTCAGAGAGTGGGCAGAAAAGGGAGCACTTCAGAAGCACTTCCACAACCTGAATGGCCGGAAGCTGGGAGAGATTTGATAAAAAGGAGAATGAAGGTGTTAATAATTTCCATTACTATTTCTGCACAGCGATTAATGGCACTACTGACATCTGTGCTAATTGCTTGTCCTAATTACATCAGGAAAAACAAAAAGCTGCTCAAAATCTCTCACTTGTAAAGTCATACCCCTCTACTAGACTCCATTTGTTGGTCCTAAAAGGTACTTACACAGCAAGGATTTGGAAAAAAAAAAAAAAAAAAAGGAGAGGGCGGCTGGAAAGAGCCCTGATCAATATGGGAAGAGAGAGTAAAAGAGCTTGAAACCATTCACAGCACAAGCAGAGGTGGGGCCAGAAAGAGCAAAAAAAGTAAGCAGAGCTTCCATTAGCCAGTCATTCCTCTTCTGTTTCCTGTCCATATTTAACTAGGTCATGGATCTTGCCAACCTCTAAAAAACTATACAGCTGGTAATTCCGCGGAGAAAAAGAGGACAAAAAATAAGACTGCTCCAGAAAAGAAAAGGAAAAAGAAGAGAAATAAAAGTCGTAGTAGGAAGTAGTGCTCTGAAGCAAAGAAAAGGAGAAGGAAACCTAGACACACTGATATTAGACAGTAAATGTCCTAACAGCTGTTCCTCTACAGCCTCAGTCCCTGAAGATCCCCCCACGGTCCAGCACGGATAGATTAGACCTCGCTGCTGTGCATGGGCAGCATAACTAACGCCATTACAGCTACAGACATTCTCACTAATAAAGCATGCAAAACACTTCAGCTACGACAGAACAGCTGAGCAGCTAGACCATGAATCTTTAAGAAACATGGAGGAGAAGGGAAGAGTCTCGAAGGGAAACAAGAGAAGGAATGAGAGAGGAATAAAAACTAGCTGGCAGACTCGGCTGTGACACGCTGACCCGGGGCCAGTCTGTTCCCAAACTCTTTCACTCGCATTCTTTTAGGCTCATTCAAAAGGTCCCACAATTGTTTTCTTTCTTTTATGTACAGTATGTGTGCTCCATGCCAAAAAGGAAGCACCCAGGGTCATTCCCCGAGAGGTCACGAGCCATACGGACGTAGGCGGTGCTTTTTTTGGGAATGGGAAATTTGCAGTAAAGGGCAATCTTTAAGCTCCTGTAGGTAAGGAGCGAGTACCTCGGGAAATGTCAGTGAGTTCTGGGCTGCTGGCATTTCCCTGAGTGCTTCCACTAAACACAAGAGCCACTCTGTATTCCCGACTGCAGATGGTGGTGTGATCCTCTGATAGATTGGCATCTAGATAGCCAGGTTGTACAGTCATTAGTGAGCCAGATCACCGTGGGAGGCCAGTGTCTCACAGGTTCATAATTACACCTACAGTACGGCCTTAGTTCAAACAGCAGAGGCTTTCACTAATCACTAATTAGTGCTGAACAGTGAGGAAAATCTCTAATTTTAACCAATTTTGCAACTGTGATCATTTAAACTCTGTTTTTGTGGTTTACTGCAAATAATACGATACAATCAATCTGTCAATCATTTTCTCGATTATTACATTAGTTGTTTGGTCCATAAAATGTTGATCAGTGTTTCCTGAAGGCCAAAGTGAAGTTCTACAACCCAAAGATATTCAGTTTACTGCCATAGAGAACTATGACATAAACATAGAGAACATTTGAGGATCTAAAAATCAGAGAATTTGGATATTGAGGATATCGAAATGTCAATTATTATTTGGTTCTTCAAATGTTCTCTAATATCATTTTAAAGTGATTATATTTTGGTTTTGGATGGACCAAACAATTTGCAGATGTCGGAAGTCTTGGAGTGCAGGAGACGATGATAGGTCCTGACATTTTATAGAACAGAGCCATGCTAGCTGTTTCCACCCGTTTCCAGTCTTTGTGCAAAGCTAAGCTAATCAGCTGCTAGATGTAGCTTCATAGTTATTGCACACACAAAAGTGGTATTGCTCCTCTCATTTAACTCTCTGCAAAACAGCAAATGACCACATTCCCCAAAATGTCAAACTACTGCAGCTCCTTGAGCTGAGGTATCTTTGACAAAGCAAACCAACCAGAACTGGCTGTGTATCCACACAAGTGTGTGTGTGCTGTGCGATGTTTGCCTATTTCTACTCCACTGGCCCAGTGGTTATGTGGCTTATGGGAGCCCCATCTAATTGCCATTTGTTTGTTTAATTAGTCGGCTTGCCTGTGCATGTGGATCAAATCCTACCATGAGATCATTAACAGGTTTCCATGGAGGGATGATGATGGTGGTGGTGATGATGTTTTGCCTTCTGCTCTTCGGCACGTGTTTACACTCTTCTGTGCCCGACTGCCTGGTCTCAGCTGTGGCAGAACCAGTTTAATGGAGCTGCATTTAAAAAAAAATAATAATCACTTTATCCCTGATATCCACAAAGCTCACTGTGATGATGAACTTGTTTTTGTCGCGCCGGCTGACTGACTGTAGAAGCGTAGGCTGTTGCTGTTCACCTGCTGGGATTTGTATAATGCAAATGAACATGTAAAGTGTCTGGAAGCAGACGATCTGTAAAAGACACTGACGACCTTCTGTGTGACTGAACTAATTGCAGCTCTTGTTTATTGGGTTTAATACGAGAATAATCGTGTGCTCTATGTAGGGTTGCAATGAATATGATATTATTATTTTTTTATTAATATATTTATTGTTCAGTCTACACAGTAAAATGTCAGGAGAGTGAAAAATGTCACAATTTTCTAGAACCCAAGGGATGTTGTCTTGTTTTATTCTAGCAACAACAACTAGAATGCTTTCATTTTATAATGTTATAAAACACAGCAGATCCTCACATATGGGAATCTTCCCTCTCATCTATTCTAATGAATAGATTTAACTGTCTCGCAGTCAATCTTTACATAATGTCCTCTTAAAGTCATATTGTGTGTGTTATAATTTTGACCTATCACACAGATATGATGCCAGCCGTGCATCATTTACAGCTTTCTCACAGTATCTCATGACCACATTCCACAAATTATGACTTATAGCTCTCTCAAAGTGCATGTCCTAGTTAAATAAAAAGGCTGCTTTTATGTGAAAGGCCAGACTGTGTATACGCACAGAAACTCGACACAGCTGCAGCTGGAAACACTACCACGAGACAAATGTCACAGGTGTGTATTTTCACTCAAGACAATAACAACTCAATCCTCAAAAGGGAAATCGCTGCAGCTCAGCTCATGAGCTGAACTCAGCTTAGCCTCTCTCTCTTTCCCCTTCTCCTTCCTGCTCTGCACCGTCTGCGTGGATCGTTTCCAGTGTGGGGATTCTCTCTACAAAAGTTATTTCAGGAACACAATCCTAATTCAAATTCTGCTAAATCCTCTGTTCTGAGAGGAAGCAGGCTGCATTGTCACATGTACACAAAAAGCACTTTAACCTCACTGTGAACGGAAGAGCGAACGCAAAATAAATACGACATACATACTGTACGCAGGGAGAGTTTTCCATCATGACAAGTCTGAACAGTGACCACACTGGGCGAGGTGACATGTAACAGGAGAGGTTTTGGCATGGAGATATTAGAAACAAAAGCCTTTGAGATCACTGAGGGAATATGAGTCAGCATAGCCACTTACACTGGGCCCATTAGAGAGGCAGGCTCACTACTATCCCGCTGGAGCCTTTTAAGCCTGATTTGTGTGTAATAAACTCACATTATCTGCAATAACCCACACAAAGACGGGCTTCGTCGCAGATTTTGACATCCATTAGCACCGTCTACATGACCAATTTCAAGTCTGTCAACTAATTCTGCTGCATTTATTGACGAGGCAAAAAGCTCCATCTGCCTCTCGGGGCAACTAAACTTTTCCACTAGCCTTTTTGACCCCAAATACTTATTGAACTGCCTTTAAGTTTATCCTTTAAGTTTGACATGATCGGGTTGACCAAAATCAAAAAGCAATTAATCATTAATCATTTTGGAAAATATAACTTAATTTTGGCTCATTTTAAAAATTAAATTAGAGGATAAGTGATGTCTTAGTTGGTTAAATGATTAACCGACTATTAAAAACAAATTCTAATCTAATCAAAGCTCAAATCAAGCTCAAATAAAATGCTAAAAACCCTCATTGCTTTATAAAAGAAAAGAAAAATGCTACACACAAACAAAGGAAGGAATCCTACCAACATACTGCACTGCACCCTGAGTAATACACACACCCAACATCATCCTAACCTTTGTTTTTTTCTGGAGGGGGGGGGGGGTATTTTTTAGCAGTTGTCAGTGCCATTGTATGTACGCAATGCATGTTTTGCCCCCGTCATGCTAATCCTGTCCTGTAATATATCACCTGTTATGTCTCATCTCAGAAAAAAATTAAATAAATGTCCATTCCTATCAACTTGCGGGAGACAACAGACACTCAGCTATTACAGCTCTTGCGGTCAAACGATGCATCAAAAGATAAACGCAAAAGTTAACGACAATCTTACCAAAGTAATCAGAGTTTCCTCATCTGCTCTCGGGCGCTTACAAGCAGACGCAGACTGCTTCAGACAAATTCATCCGAGTCCATTCAGCCTGCAGTGCTGTAAGTGTTGCATAGTGAGAGCACCATAACACTTTGCCCTCCTGCTCGCTGCCTCTCAGCCCCCGTCAAATGTGGTCTGGGCAATGTCTATTCACATGATGTCAGCAGCTGCTTGGTTGACAACGAGCCCACTTCAAACACAAGGGTGCTGTATTTCCTCGTCTGGATTAGCATTGTTGTTCCTTCCCCGGTCTTCCTCTCATAAATAAATAAAAGCCCTGGCCATTCAACTCCGGTGTATATATTTGCCCCGTATCCTTCCTTTTCTTATGGGACCCGGGGATGGGTGTGAAGGCCTAATTTCCCCTGGTGAAGTGAATATTGGACCAAGCTCAGGCTCTTGAGCAGTCATCCATTTACATACACCGACAGTGTGAAAACTTTCCCTGTCGGGCAGACGAGCAGACACAAATCTCCACTCAAAAGAGGTTTTCACCAACTCTCTCTCGCTCTCTCTCTCTGGCACTTTAAAGTTTTTTAAAGCTTACTATTAAGTCACAGTAAAAGTCACCATCTTTTCTGTCAGACATGCAGAATTATCACTGATAATACTGGATAATCAATCCAATTTTCTATCTGCTTTTCACTGAGCGGAGATAGTGAGAGAGTGATCACTGCCACTCTCACATAATTGCCGTCCTAAATGAGCGCACTGAGCTCCTACGCCTGAAGGCATTATGAATCAGGCGAGGAACAGGAGATAAGAAGCCTGACCGAGGCTATTAGCATCAGCTGCAGTGGAAAAGTCTTGAGTGAACTAATGAATAAAACAAAAGGTCCGGGCAAGGCTGCTTCTTCAGAAACCTACAGCCAAATCAAAAATCAATCTAGTTTGGACAGATTATCTCGGCAGGCGCACAGAGGAGCAGCCACAGTTGTGGTTCCTCACGTCACAACTCGGAGCACTTCACAGATCAATTCCCAGCAGTTGTCTCTTGTGAGAGAAAAAAAAAACAACATACATATTATTGGCTTTACTCCAAAAAGAGTTATCCACCATTAACAGAAATGACACCCACTGTCTGATGTTGACTGCAGCCAAGTTAAGTAGGGCTGCAACCAATGATTGTTTTCATTATTGATTAATATGTGGATATAACGCACAACGTTACTGCAGTGCAGATGAGAATCGACAAGATGACTTCTGGCAAAGCTGAATTAAAAATGAATAATGTGTTACCAATTGTACAACTACTACTACCACCATCTTTATTTTACTATGTGAACATACAGTAGGAGGGGGAGAAATAAGAAAACCAAAGAGCCTACAGATAACTTTCTCAATTAAAATCGACTGATCTATAAAATATCCCATTACAAATTCATGTAGACGTCTTAACCAACAGTCCAAAACCCAAATACATTCAGCTTATTATCATTTAAGAACCAAGAAAACCAGAAAATATTCACATCAGAGAAGCTGGATTCAGTATTTTTGCTCAACAGATTGTTTACACAATCAAATATTAAAATAATTGCTTTTAATTTTGCTGCACTGACTATTAATTCATGCAGTATTTAAAAAGCGGAGATCAACCAGATAAAAAGCAGGTTAATAAAAACAGAAGAATCAACTTTTCCTCAGTGTTGATGACTAAATCATTCCTTGTTTTCAGCAGGAGTGAAGACTACGCACTGAGGATTAGAAGGTCAGAGACGCAGGGAGGTACTAAAGCAACATGAGCCCTGGTGGTCAGAAAAATCTATTATAAACTTTAACTGCAACCTGTGTGGTTAAGTGTCTATAATTAGAAGGTCTTCTTGACTTTGTTCTCCCAGGTTAGCAGGATCAATGAGGCAGGTGAGCTGCTGTTAAACAATGGCTCGCATCTCATCCTCAGCATCAGTTGTTGAAGTCACAAGACATCGACTACAAGTCCATTACATGTCACATTACTGTTAGTAGATATCAGAGTCATGAGGAAATTAAGCTTGAAAAGGTGAACATTGTCACCCCCCCTGGATTGAGTTAAAGTCAGGTGTCCTGCTGTTGATGTTCTGCACTTATTGCAGATATTAGATAAAACATTTAAAACATTATTTTAGTTGGAGAAAATAGTATTCCTTAACTCCTAATTTGATAATAAAAAGCAGCAAACTAAAAGGAGTCTTAATGGACACCACTAAATAAAAAACATCCAGTTATTGATATACAACTGAAGGAAACTGTGGGTCATCCAACAGTGGGGTTATCAGTAACAAAGCAAGAGGGATTTCAGGCTTTTATAGCTTCATATAGCCGTGTTACGTACACACGTATTCAGCGATGTGTTGTATCTGTGAATGATGAGACCTAGAGGAGGCATACAGATAGCGAGCGGTAATACAGAGGATGGGACCTTTGGGAAAAGCAGGGAGAAGATGAGTGGAATCTGAAGCTGTGATCCCTGTATCCACTGAAAGGCCAGTACGATTTGAAAGGAACCACTTGACAATACTGTGATTCAATCCAATCTGTCAGTTCATTTTTAAATCAGCTCAGTATCAAAAGTGCAAGACATGTTCCTGTTCAAAAAAATACTACCGGATACATTTTATGTTGCGATATTTGATTTCAAAATGGATTTATGTTGGAAAATAATGCTGCATATTTTACATAAAGGGAAAAAAGGGGCACAGCAAGACCAAAGTGGATGTAAATCATCAACAGTATGGGTGATATATTAATGTTTAATAGTGCTGCAGTGACATCCTGATTAACCTGCAGGAATAATTCTGGACTACTAATTTTCAGTACAGGATACGCCTTCAAGCAGAGCAATCACTATAACAAGAGTTAAAGAACTAGTTTGACATTGAGGAAACACTCTAATTTGCCTTCTTGGCGACAGTTAAATAAGAAGATCGATGCCACTCTGATTTCTGTCCGTTCAGTGTGAAGCTGGACAAGGGATGGGTAGAGGGGCATGTTGTGGTTTTAAGGAGCTCTATGTGCTGGTGTAATGTGGTCCGCATAAGTGATCTCACTTGCTCCATACATCCAGGAGTGTAGATGTATTGCCTCACAGGCAATCCCTCTGTGGGAGTAAACGCTACTGGAAATTGTGCAACTTGGTGGTCGTTCTCAAAGAGACGTTTAGTTTCTCTTTCAGTCTGAGAATCTTGCATGTGAGTGTTCAGGGGCCTTGTCTCATACTCCGTCCATGGCTGTAGACTATTTTTTTAGAGACGCACCGATCCACTCTCTTTCAGTAATGATATCTGAATTTGGATATCTGCCTTGAACACAACTTCCACCCCTCACAATGTCGACTTTACTCACATTACAAGTTGCCATGTGAATTAGGTCAGTATTGGCACCCAATCCTGATATTTGATCAGATCGGTCCAAACTCTACACTATTTATTAATATGTTTTCATATTAGAATAAGTATAATATATAAGATAATGTAACTTATAGAAGTCTAATTAGAATAGAATAAGACATTTATATTTGGCATTAATTTATTACTTAATAAATAACACAACCATAACAATGTGCAGTTTATTATTGCCTAGAACAAGGGCTTTAAATGGGAGTCCTAACACATTTCTATTCATTTTACAAACTGGGCCCCAGTCTACCCTCCTCAACAGTTTCTAAACCCGCCCCTAAAGGCTGATTCAAGGGGCTGTTTAACCAGCCAGCTTGAGTGGTGTCTCACTGAGGCTGACCTCACTTACGTCATGTTACACTGACTGGACTATGCTTTTTTCGGGTGCAGTGACTTCCTGGAATGACCACCGGTTGCCTGGACACCTTGCAGTGATAATAAGACTACAGGGAGTGGCTCCTGGCTGTACCTTCGTGTTGAACAGAAAGCTGTGACACTGGTGGTCCATCTTTTCATCTAACTCTCAGCAAAAATGTCAAAACTATTCCTGAAAATAAATGAGTTAATCACCAATTGACTCCACCCAAATGACCACATCACATTCACATGACCAGTCGCTGCAAAGTCCTTCATGACTTCCAGTTATTTCCCCAAACACACCCACATTGATTACTGCAGCTGAAAAGAAATGCTGACAAATGCTGAGCAAAGACAACATTTATACGGGGTTTTTTATATGTGTGTAATTAGAGGCAGATCACCTCTTAGTGACACTGAGCGCTAGAAACAAAACACCAGTGCACAGACATGCACTTAAATTAATTTTGATAATCTACTAAGGTGCCTCACCTCTTAAACAGAAGAGCTGCAACATTAAATCAATTAGCTGTCAACTATTAAATTAATCTGCAGTTATTTTTGAGAAGATACAATGTCCAAATTCTCAGATTTTGGCTTCTCAAAGGTGACTAATTTCTACTTTATTTAGTCCTCTATGACAGTAAACTCAATATCTTTGGTTGTGGACAAAACAAGACATTTGAGGACGTCACCTTGGGCTTTGGGAAACAGTGATTGACATTTTAAACCATTTTCTGCCATTTTAAACCAAAAAAATGCATCAAGAAAATGATCGACAAATTAAACGCTACTGAAAGTAATTGTTAGTTGCGGCACTTTTAAACAGATGGCAGGATAGCGCAATAAACGACACTGAAGAGACAGACAACACTTCTACTACAGGCCATGTTCCCCTTTTGTTAGCACAGCTCACTTAGCAACAGCTGGGTTAATCAATACCAGTTCTTGAGACGAGAGAGCCAGTGCATCATAATATTGCTATGCCTTCACACAGAACCACAGCAGAGTAACAGGATCGCATACAGGATCAGATATCCATGTTTGAAGGTAAGTAAAGGTTACATTACCAGAGGTGCTAGATGTACAACACCATGTTCTCTGTGTGAGTGTCCTCCCTGTGGCCCCAAAAACTGCAAATAAGCTGTGATCGATCAATGCTTTGGAGGAGGCGTAGACGAGTGGCCCCGACAGCCAGACATATGAGACTGAGTGTACTGTAGCCCTGCCTCGAGCTATAGGGAATCCCCTGGTTTGTGTTTGTGTGTGAGTGTGTGTGTGTGTGTATGTGTGTGTGTGTGTGAATAGGATGGGTGTGACTGAGTCTCATCAACCACCCATGATTCACAGCTGAGTCAGGAGCAGGTGCTTCAACTGGACTCCAAAATGAGGCTGTGATTACAACCCCCGGCAAGAAAGAAAGGGGAAAAAAAAAAACATTCTCATGTCTCCATTTCCGATTGTCGCTGCAACTGTTCATTTAGCGCCCCCCATCATTCTCGAGACTCTTCGCAGCCAGTGTTGTTACAAAAACAAAAAAAGTGTCGGAGAAACAGATTTAATTACGACTGAACATCAAAAACTATACAGATGGCACTCGTATGTAACGCTCCCCATCTCTTATGATAAGAAAAGAGATTAATGTTCCTTAAGACAAACATCTCTGAACTGTTTTTTTTCCTCTTCCTGTCCTCCCCGAAAGTTGTTTATATTGTATGTCTGTTCTTGACTGGTTATTCCATTAAGTTTACATAACTTCCATTTTAACATAGTAAATTAAATACAATGATATCAACATTTGAATGTTGGTATCATTGTAATTAATATCTTTAGTCTCAGACTGTTGGTTGGATAAAACAAGCAATCTAGGATATTAAGAAGGCACGATCTTCTATGTCTTTGACTTAAGGAATCAGTTTAACCTAATTCTTCACAGTTTACCTTAAGCTTTGGGAAAATTAGGTTTTCAATATTTTCTGATATTTTATCTATTTATCAAATAATCTTTATAGTTATTTAATGAAGCACAAATGTCAAAAATTGTCGATTTCGATTGTTGATTTCATTTTCATCAATGTGAAGATTTACCGCCTGTTCTCCTCAATGTGATGTCTTCAAATGTCTTGTTTTATCTGACCGTCAGTCTAAAACCAGGACATGTTCAGCTCATAATGATAATCAATCTTTACAGTTGTTAGAAGTTATAAAATGTGAAGATTTGAAACTAACTGAACACCACTCGAGTCTGTATCTGACGACCTGGCAATGAGAAAGGGCGTAGGAGAAACTACGTTGGCCATGAAACTCTCAATAAATGCGGAAAAAACCTTTCTACAGTTGACGTTTGGTTTGTCCGTTCTGGGCTACTGTAGAAACATGGTGGTTCAAAATGGCGGACTCCGCAGAAGGCAACTCTTCTGTAGATAAAAACTTCTCATTCTAAGGTAACGAAAACACAACAATTCCTATATTCAGGTGATTAAACACTAATGAAAACATAGTTATGAATATTTCTACTAACAGATCCTCCTGAATGTTTCACACTGGACCTTTACATTTTAAATAGTTTGGACTGAAAATGGTGAGTCTCATCACTTCCTAAAGCCCACTGTGACAAAGAGAATCAGTTACTATTACACAACACATAGAAAAACAAATTTTTGGAGGTTTTGCTTTAAAAAAAAGTTGAATTGATTGTAACAACCGTTGCAGATTAATTTTCTTTCGATTGACTAATCAGTTCAATCAATTACTAGTCGTCTCTCCCTTCCCATAGGCCCTCAGGTGCCCCAGAGCTTGGTTTCTATATCTGTAAACAGAGGTTGATGTGCTGTGGATAACTGCTGGTGCTGGTGCTGGTCGGTGATTTTCCTCCCACTGTCCATTCTATCTATTCTAATTCTACTGCAAGGTTGCCCGCTTCTATTTCTGTCCACACATTTAACAACACGAGACCTCGGCAGGAAGCAGGTGGTTTGTTTGCTGTGTTGTTTATGCCCTATCTTTTCCCAGGCTCTCTGCGCGCACACACACACACACACACACACACACACACTTGAGGCTGAGCAAGACCCTTGGGTTGATGAGGAGGAGGACGCAGCGAGGACGATGGGATTGGAGAAGAGATGGTAAGGGAGGTGTGGAGGAACACCGAGAGAGGGAACGATGAGTGTGAGGACGAGGAAAGCAGTTAATAACTAGAAAAAGACAGAGGAAGCATGAGGATGACAGGAAAAAGAGCGAGGACAAGAGGGGCAGAGAAGGAATGCATGCGTGTTTATTGTGCTTTCTAAATAAGGAAATATCCCCAACTGGCTCCAGTGTTTTCATTACTTTATTGAGAACTTGAGAAACATAATACATCCTCCTCGGCTACGCTGCAACACACAATTTAATCCAACCTGTAACAGAATATACGATTTGGTTGTGGGCTACGTCACTCTGCACCACCTGTTAGAGGGATTTCACCCACAACTCCCCCCTATCCTCTCTCTAATAAAAAAACACACACACACACACACACACACACACACACACACACACACACACACACACACAACAGAAACCACATCCAGCCAAAGACTGCCAACTTACAAAGCTAGAGCTCTGGTTACTCCAACCACAACCGCTCTTTATGCCGCATTTAACATAATTTGAAGTCGCTCCTCTCACCTGTACCGATGGCCCTGGTGTGTCTGAGGTCTGCCAAGTAATTCCACTCAGCTGCATCATCACACTTTTCTCCCACAAGTCTAGGAGGATGTGGGCGTCATGTGATTCGATTTGCTGAGTTGACGGGGATAAAAAGGCACATACGTAACCCTCCTCATGAGCAAACACAGAAAACAGCAGAGGCGATGGCTGCACTTTCCTCCAGACCTAGATAACGAAGCCGGTTTTAGAGGACGAACAGCTTCAGCTTGTGCAGCACACCAAACATACTGTGATACTAATGCAACGATGTGAAAATACTCTGCTACAAATACAAGTCTTTCATTAAAAACCTAACTGATGGTAAAGTACAGAAGTATTATCAGTAAAAAGCACTTAAAGTTCCCCAAGTAAAAGTACTCGTTCTGCAGAACGGCCCCTGTCAGAGTTATTATTTATTACATTTTCAGTTAATACTGACATTGATGCATAAGCAGCATTTTACTGTTGAAGCTGGTTGAGATGATGTATTTAGATGGTTTGTTTCATTCAACCAACAGTCCAAAGACACAGTTTACCATCACATATGATAAAGAAAAAGCATCAAAGCCTGATATTGAGACGCTGGGAGATGTGAGTGTTTGTTATTTTAGCTTTAAAAGCCAACAAAAATAAATTGATTATCAAATAGGCAGCTCTTTTTCTGTCGATCAGCTAATTGATGAATCATTGCAGCTGCATCACAAAGGGAAATCTGAGGGGTAAACAAAGTTCTAAACACAAAATGTACACTGTTTTTGGACTTTTCTCTAATCTTTCACATTTCTTTCCCTTTTATCATTTTACTTCTTTGGGCCTTAAACAATTCAGAGAAGTTTAGAGGGGGAGTTACTCTGTATGTGTGACTTAAAAATCTGACAATAGACCCCAACTAGTGTTTTTTTTACAAGGTCACAGGGTCACAAGCCCAAAAAAAACTGAAAACATCTTTAACATGTTTCATTTTATTGTATTTTATAAAGGTTATGCAATGTTTTGTATGTGAAATAGAGATGTCAAATTAATATAGTCAAATAAAAAATACAATACTTCCTTCTGAAATGAAGTGGAGTGAAAGTATAAAGTGGCATAAAATGAAGCACTTGATTTTACTTATTATAGCTATATTCCACTGCAGTCAGCAGAGTTTAATTTGAGAAGTCCCGAGTAAAGCCTTCTGTTAAACAATTGAGTCATCACGTAGAGTTTACCTTCAGGCCATGAAACAATACCGATTTATTTGTCTTATTAAGAGTAATTAACACATTTAATTTCCTCCAGCAGCAGAACGGGAAATGGGATATACTCCTAATAAGTCAATGTCAAGTGAATTTTAATGACAATGATTCAACGATTTGCTCTCTAATTCCAGCGAGCAGCCTCCCATCAACAGAGCTCATCGTTCCCCCTCCTCTGGGATCTGGATGAAAACCTTTTCAAGAAAAACAATCAAATATTTTACAGCAAACTGAGCCTGAGAATTCCCAAAGTGGATCAAATCAAAGCACAAAGCAGATCACAAGCTCATGATTCCCTGTCAAACACTAAAGGTCATGTTGCTCCTTTCACCCTCAAGCATTTTTTTCTCTCCAGTCACTTTTAAAGTTCAATGATTTTAGCACTTTATTCCCATCACATGGAATTTGAAATGGGCCACTCCATCTAAAATAATTAAACCTCATTTTCAAGAGAGATTCTCATCAAATCACCGTTGACTGAAAAAGGACATGTCTACTTTAATTCCAAACCAATTCACATGGATGAGACTCCATTTACATAATAAGGCTTGATTAAAAATTCTCTAACCAAATAGACTCAAAACAGTGTTTATTCAACACCTCAACCCTATCTGGGAAATGTATGCTGACGCCGTGGCCCAATCCAGCTGAAGTAAGAGGGCGTAACTACATTAAATCAAGTGCCTTAATGCTGAAAAACAGATGGGTTGCCACTTTGAAGGGCAACCTCGCCAAACAATGGCAATTATCAAGAAGAGGGAAGACATCAGGGCATACATTTGGGTGTTATAAATGTAGTAATAACTAATGGATATGTAATATTCAGCCATTTTCTGCAGTCATTTAGTGTTTGCATGGTTGCGGGCGGTTCCAGCCACTGGTTTCCAGTCTATAACTGGAAGAAGCCATTTTAAAAACTGGCTGGGTCAGTATGCCATTTCCTGTGCCAGTTGGAATAAAAGCTACCAAACATTTAAGTGAATCTATCTTTTGACACACTCGTTCCCGGTGGGCATATTGAGTTAGGAGTGGCAGTGGCTGTGGTCAGTTTGTATTCACAGTGGTTAGAGTATATTTCAATGGTGACCCAGTTTCACAGCATATAAAGACGTCCAAAGGAACTACTCAAGACTATTCCTGGAGAATAATCTTTTCTACTGTCTGTCAGGATCTTCAGTATCTTCCAAACCCGCGTCTCAGTCCTTACATACAACCCTTGTGACCCTGCAAGGACATGAATTGGTTTATTTGTCCTATTTGGAGCATCCGCCTCCTGCTCTCCCATTGGTCTGATTGGTCCATCGG